GGAGAACATCACATTCCTTTTCTTCTTCAACCCCCTCATTCCGTCCTCGCCTCTCTCTCTCTCTTTCCTCCCGTGGAAGCAACAATATGTGACGCTCTGAACGGAAGGGACTACGTTACCGAAAGGTCTCCATTTGCTTCACTCTTCACCCAATATGAAATGTATCCCTCGTCTTCGCCGTTTGATCAACCCCTCGGATATTATACATAATAAGGAAGGGGTAGGAAAGAGGGAGAAGACGGCGACGACCGCGGCGCCACCTCCTACCATCCTCATCCGATGACAGTTCCGTCCTGCGCACGAGATCGACGGCGTTTATTGACTAGTTCTCCCGAACAAGATTTAGATAATCTCGCGACAACGTCACTTCATCTACTATTGCAGTCCTCAAAGTAGATTACTTGAACCGATCTAATTACTCAAAACAAAATAAAAAAACTTCTTCGGTCAGTCTTTCCGCCATCGCAGCCTTTGTTAAGACCCGGATGCGGGAATATCCTTCTCGTTCCTCCATCCGATTTCCTATACATTGATCACCCGCCTCGAGTCGTCGCTTCCACAGCTATTATTCGTCTCCGTCGCCGCCCGCCACCATGGAGACGCAGGTCCTCGCCGGTGGCTGCCCCATCAAGACGGTCGTGGTGCTCGTCCAGGAGAACCGCTCCTTTGACCACATGCTGGGTTGGATGAAGTCTCTCAACCCGGCGATCGACGGCGTTGATGGCTCCGAGTCCAACCTGGTCTCCGTCGCCGATCCCAACTCCGCCCGCGTGCAATTCACCGACCGATCCGAGTACGTCGACCCCGATCCCGGCCACTCCTTCCAGGCCATCTACGAGCAGATCTACGGCGTGCCATACGAGCCCGGCTTGCCGTCAACGCCCGCCACGGCGGCGCTGATGAACGGTTTCGCGCAGCAGGCGGAGAAGGAGAAGCCGGGCATGTCGGCGAATGTGATGAGCGGATTTCGCCCTAACGCCGTGCCGGTGTACCGAGAGCTGGTGGCGGAGTTCGCCGTGTGCGACCGGTGGTTCGCACCTGTGCCGGCGTCGACGCAGCCAAATCGTCTCTACGTGCACTCGGCGACGTCTCACGGCGCAACAAGCAACGTGAGGAAGCAACTAATCGAGGGTTTTCCCCAGAAAACCATCTTTGACTCCCTGGACGAGGCGGGCCTCTCTTTCGGGATTTACTTCCAGTACCCTCCCGCCACCCTCTTCTACAGGTCCAGTCTCTCTCTCTCTCTCTTTTTCTCTCTCTTTTATACTTTCTCAATCATCTGACTCGATGGGGAACTCAGGAATCTGAGGAAGCTCAAGTACTTGGGGAGGTTCCACCCGTTCGATCTGAGCTTCAAGAAGCACTGCAAGGAGGGGAAGCTCCCCAACTACGTGGTGGTGGAGCAGCGATACTTTGACCTCAAGCTCCTCCCGGGGAACGACGACCACCCCTCCCACGACGTCTCCGAGGGGCAGAAGTTCGTGAAGGAGGTCTACGAGGCGCTCCGTTCCAGCCCTCAGTGGAACGAGATCCTCTTCGTCATCACCTACGACGAGCACGGCGGCTTCTTCGACCACGTACCCCCGCCGGTCAACGTCCCCAGCCCCGATGACATCGTCGGCCCGGAGCCCTTCAACTTCCGCTTTGACCGGCTCGGTGTCCGCGTCCCGGCCATCCTCATCTCCCCTTGGATCGAGAAGGGAACAGGTAAAAAAACCCTAGAACCTCCGTAACTGCTAGAAGGCGACGAGATCAAACTAGACACTAAAACCGGAGCCCTTGGTGCAGTGCTTCACGAGCCCTCGGGGCCGTACCCGTCCTCCCAGTACGAGCACTCCTCCATTCCGGCCACCGTGAAGAAGATCTTCAACCTCAGGGAGTTCCTGACCAAGAGGGACGCATGGGCCGGCACCTTCGAGACTGTGCTAACGAGGAAGAGCCCCAGAACCGACTGCCCGCTCACCCTGCCGGAGCCGAAGAAGATGCGCGAGGACGACGGTGCCGGTGAGGGAGCCAAGCTGACGGAGTTCCAGGAGGCGCTGGTGCACCTGGCGGCGGTGCTCAACGGGGACCACGCCAAGGAGGGCAAGCTCAAGGCGGCACTCGAGGAGAAGACAGTTGTGGAGGGCGCCAAGTACCTGGAGGATGCCTTCCAGGCCTTCTGCCGCGCCGGCGAGAGCTGCCGGAAGCGAGGTATGGACGACTCGCAGATTGTGGCGGTGGAGAAGCCCGGCGGAGAGAAACCCAAAGCAAGGAAGAGGTCCTTCGTGAACAAGTTGTTCTCATGCTTGGCCTGTAACCGCTCGGAATGACGACACAAACCCTGAACCTTCACCCCCTGATTGGCCAAAGCTCTCTCCCCCTCCTCAGTCTTCACGGTGATGAATCGTTTCTCATTTTGGGGTGATCACTCTTACAACCTCTTTATTTGTGCCAAAATCTTCTCTGTATATGATGTCACACCTTTTATATTTAATAATGCATCTAAATATTTTGTCCTATACTTTCTTCTCACGGTCAACGAGGATCGGGCCGGGCCCATGTCTCCCCGAGTCGGGCTGACAGGGAAGCCAGATCTCATTGCCTGGAACCATGGCGGGATGAATGGTTGACCCTTTCTTTAGTTACAACAATGGACCTCACCAAATGACACGCCACATCTTCATACGAGATAATTAGTGATCTTAATCCTCAGACTTTGAAAGGTCAATGCTGTCAACGAAAAGGGGTCCATTCACGAGGTCAAAGTTGACTTAATTTTAATGGCACTTTAAAACTGAATTAAAACGAGTTAAAATAAATTAAATTGAGCTAAAAGCTGGATAATTGAGTAAATGCGGGAAAATTAATATTTGACGGATTTTTCAAGCATTTTATTATGGGGGTAATCTAATTTTGGGAATTTTACGGTAAAAAAAAAACCTTACACCCTTCTCTTTCTTGAGGTGATGTCCTGCACAAATACATTACTTTTATACTGAAATGGCTATAAATCGTATTTATTGCGTAAAAAATAGTAGGGTTTCATGGGCCGGGCAAGAAAAAAAAGTAATGGGCCGGGCTGATTTTCTTCTGAAAGCTTGATTTTTTAAAATATAAGTCCACTAAGATTAGTTGGTCGGTGGGAACACCAGACTGTCCGGCCCATTGCCGAATTTTGGAAGAGATCGCTCAAATTTTTATCGGTCGTCTTCTCGGATTTTTATCGGGTACCCCTTGGAAATAGTGGTTTTTAGTGGCGGGGCTGAGCCAGTTGTCGAATGGACGATTCGTTCCAGCGTTTCGGAATATTCTGGGAGAGTTTGTTCTGCCCGCCATCGCCTTCCGACGTCTCCTTCACGACGGCATCGTCTCGCTCGCGCTGCCTTCTTGGCTGGTAATCCTCTCTCTCTCGTCCCTCTTTCTTCGCGCCTGATGGAACCCCGAAACTCAACCTGGCTGTCGGGGATGCCTGCTGATTTGTGGCATTATTAAGTGTTAGTTTACTTGATCCTCTATTTGTTGAATGTAGAATTACTTAAAGCATGCGTAAATATTGGTGGTCAGTGAGGATTTGGCGGTGTAACCGTTGTGAAATGTCGGGTGTTTGTTTATGTGGCGTAGAGATTTCTCATCCCAAGTGCTGGGGAACGGTGAGTGGTGGAATTTTCCGTCGGAATATACTTCCCCGAGTGGTGGAATTTTTTCATGAGGAGATTTTAAAAGCAGTGCATGAATCTCCGTGTTGTTAGTGGAGATATTCTATTGATGGATTGCTGGGTCCTGCTTCTCAGGAATGATAAGTCGGACGAGCTGCTATTTATCCATAAAATTGAAGACCTGAGGTCGCCATCAGTCTGAGAGTTGCATTTCCTGTTTTTTTTTTCCTTTTATCACCTTGCCGGGCCAAATGTATCGTTTTCTTTACCAAGTCCCCTGTGTGGTTTGTCATAGGGTTATTTATGGTTTGTAGTTTTTTTTCATGTTTAGAAGCAGAAGGGTATCATCACTCGCAGTTCATCGGTTTATTTATTTATTTAAATTAATTTTTATAATTTTAAGAACTAAAATGTGCTATCTCAAGGGAAAACACAAAAATTGAAATGCTCGTCTTCAATTATCTTATAGGAAAGAAAGTTTGAAATCAGATGCTCATTGACAGAGGCGACCTCTGCTGAAGGAAAAGGCGGAAACTGCAAAAAGACAAGGGAAGCTCATTGATCCAGTGGCAGTTTATATAGCAAGGACGAAGATGTTAGGGATTTAAAAGCGTTTATGACCAGAAAGAGGTTGGGGCTTTAACAGAGGAGGGGAGGAATCGTCATCTACTTTTTTCAAATGTTCACCAACGATCAGAGGCAAGCTGAGCGCACAGGGAGACATGGCACACCTAGGCTCCAATACCTTCAGGTAATGCACTAAATATATTTATTTATGTATCTAATGAATTCTGTAGCTGTTACTGATTAGATGACCTTGTGGAGTCCTTGTGGACATTTGTATCTTTCTCTGCAGGAGCTAGTGGCCCAGTTTCAAAATGCAACCAACGAAGGTAAATCGTTGGATTTTTACAAAATTTTGTGTTTTCCTTGTGTTACTTGAGAATGTATTTTCTATTAGTTGTGAATTCCATAAGATATAGATTTATTTCTTTCCTGTTTCTATTCTAGACGTGAGACGTTTTGGTCGCCACATTTTGTAGCAAAAAATTCTGAAAATACTAAAGTGATTATGCTCGCATTGTTACAGAAGGTGGAGTTTAGATGATTATGGCCAAAAAAATCAGTCACTCATGTTTTCATTACTGAACAATGAGGCTCCTCATTCTTATCTATCTTCTGTTTGTTTCCATTATTTAAACTCGCAGAATAAAATGGGACGAATCTATCTGATATTTTTTCCTAGCCCATCATAGGGTGGGTTTAAAGGGGTCTTCTTGATTGTCTTACCGTCATCTGTTTCCTGGTGTTCATGGTCATGAAGCTCTGTTATTAGTCGTTGTTGTCTCCTATTTAACATCCTTAGACATTGAAAATCTGAGTCATTCCCCCATGCCTGGTAGAACGTCACTCATAGTGGAGATGTGCATTTTTGTTCGATCTGATTTCTTTCGAAACATAATGTTGAGGATACAAAGCTCTTGGTTTGTCACTATGCTTTCCCAATAATGCATTTACTTTTGGTGGCTGCTATAGTGCGGTGAATCTCATCATTTCTCTTCATTTTTTTATTTTTTATTTGCAGAATTGAAAGAAAGAATTGCTGCTCATTTGGCTAATTTTGCATATGATCCTTATAATTATTCGTTCCTACGTCAGGTATTAACATTATTGTTTGAAAAACTTTATCTGGTTCTGTCTTGATTTAATCCATTGTTGAAATCTTTACTGTATAGAGCAGCTCAATGTCTTGGAACTGTTCTTGGACTGCATCACAGAGTCAAACGAAAAACTTGTGGAATTTGGGGCTGGTGGAATCTGCAGCTCTTGTGTTGGTATGTTATAGTGCCTCCCCAATACACCTGCCCTGAATTAACTTAGAGAACTAGTAGTAAAGAAATAAGTATGCTGACATCTACGGGGTTTGCTGATAGAGAAATATATCATTCGCATGCGGGCGTCCTTTTTGGACATGAGAACGCGAGTGCCGTATAACTTGTGTGTATAAAACGAAATTCATTATGCTTTTCATGCATAACAACATCAAGTTAAACAGATAAATCTCATCATTCTGTGAAATGACGTTTCGGTGAGAATGAACCATTTTAAAGCATTACACAGTCAGACATGACATCAAGAATGAGTTAGCTTCTTGAAAAATATGGCAATAAAGTCTCATGCACAGCATCAGGATGCGGGTCTCGTGTTGCTGACTCAGATTTACTGTTAGAATCCTGGGCACTATTCCATTCTGTTTTTTTACATGTGTCGGGTGTGTCGTCTTTAGACGATTTTGGCGATCTCTGAATGTGTTTGCGGCGTTTTCAAGGAGACTCCACCAATCTTCTCTGTGGAGCTTCCATGGTTGTGACGGTAGTTGCCGTATACGACTTTTTCAATGGTTTAACGCCGATGACCTCGGAAAATATATTTTCGAGAGGTCACAATCTTGGTCACATTGGTTTTCTAGAGAGGTTGAGTGGTGTGACCAAACCGTGTGCTCTTTTTTTCTCTCTCTTAACATGACCACCTTTAACGAGAATAGGATGTACCAGTAAAGTGCATTGTGAATAACTGGTATGGTCATCTGGTCACTTAACAAGCCCAACAAGGGATGCCATATATTTCCTGTGCAGTGTTTGTCTTAGTTATGCAATTTATTTAGAAAATGTTGGTTGACGTTTCAGACCCAGCAAATGCTGCAGTGATTGTGGAGTGCGGTGGGATCCCTCTGATCATCATGTGCTTATCTAGCCCTGTTAAAAACACTGTAAGCAGACTAATTCCCTCATTAGCTGAATGGCATGCAGCTGCTGGTTAATGTTCATTTTTCAATGGACAGATATGTTAGAACAGATAACATGGCACGTGTAGAATTCTTTTTAAAAAATCAAATTGTTTTTATTTTTTACGTTTGAGTTCTGTTTATTAGGCAGATGTTCCCTTTAGGATATCTGAATTTCTCTGACAAGTTCCAACTTCCCTTTAGTCCTCAATCCTTGGAAGTGAAGTATTCCGAAAGAAGTCTTGTACATTTTAAGTAATACCAGCTGAATGTCCTTAATACATATCTTTCCAAGTATGCCGATTATGAATTTCCAATGCGCCATCCAGTTTTTTGCCAAAGATCTTTCTTGTGCTACACCCTTAGCCTCAACCAGCTGCTCCTTTACCATACGAAAATCTGAAAGGTCAACCTCCGGAGTGAAACAATGGAACAATGGCATCAGTACCTTCATGGTACTAGAAGAAGCAGGGACTGCTAGCCTGAGTGCCACCTCAACGTTTTTTTCCTTCAACTGTTCCACTGCACTACTGGCCCCTTTCTTTGACTGAGACCTGGCAACAAGAACATGCCCCTGAGCGACCAGCAAGCGCAGTCTCAGTGTGCTTGGCCACATAAATCGAAGCTTTTATTTGTGTACACAACTGACCTAACGGGCAACTCTGATGATGTAGCATGCTGGTAAAAAAATTATAGGTCAAAATGATGCTCTTTTAATATTTTCATAAAAAAATTAGATTTTTGAGTATTTTCTTCCTCTCACTTTTTCTACATTGGGAAAGAGTAAAAAATTCACAGAAGAACTTTTTTTTTGGATATTTAGGTAAAAGGAAATCATTTTTTCTTGGAAAAAAAATAGTAAAAAAAGCCAAATTTAGCATTTTCTTCTAAGCATTTAAAATAGAGAAACCTGCATCTTGGAGAATTTTTCTGCTCTTTCTTTCTAGGACTCTACTCTGATAGCTACAAGATTGCTGTCTTTACAGAGGACGGTTAAGATTCCTTTCGAGTGTAGTTCTTTTACCCAATGCCCAGACGCTGTTGGCAGGTGAACTCTGCTCTTGGTGCTCTGTACTATCTCTGCAGCCCATCAACCAAAGCGGAGATCCTGAAACCCGAAGTGATCGATCTCGTGAGAAGATATGCTGTGCCCGGATCAGATGATGTTTGTTTGCGCAATCTGGCGATGGCGTTCTTGGACAAGCATGCGCCGCAATATTAGCAATGTTTCTCTTCCCAAGTAGCTGAACCTTTGGTGAGCAGCTGATCCTCTCGTGGTCGATCTTCCGATCATCCTCAAGGTCAACATCATTTGACTTTATTTTGGTGGGTTTTCTTGTTCCTGGTCCCTACAAAACTTTCCAATGATAAATAGGCCTGCAAAATCTTTGGACGTAGACGACTCTCTCTCTTTCTCCCTCTCTCTCTCTCTCTCTCTCTCTCTGTTTCCCTTCAGCCACACCCCACTGAAATCATCGGCGCTGACATTTTTAGGATTTGCCATCAGAGTCAACGGGTTTCCTTTTCTGGGTCTCCTGGTCTTCTATTTTCAAAATTCTTTGAATCATTGACGAGCTCTGATCTTCTCCTCGAAATCCTCGCCCCATTGCAACCATCAAACTATGATTTTAATCCGTCTGAATTGATCATGGCTGAAACTCTCCCCAACCTAAACCATTTTAAGATGATTACCCGAGAACAGTGGTAGCATATGCTGGGCGTGTTCTTCATTTCTAAACGACCATATTTCCTTTTTTAGCAAATTCTTTGGATGATCTTGGAGTGAAACCAGTTTCTTGTTCTTTCTCTCAGCTCACATCTTCTTGTGATCCATCTGATCCCCTTGATCTGTCCTTTTCTCTGCAGGGATTGGCGCTTCTGATGGAAGGCAGAGATCGTCTCCTCTACGGCAGCTCTTTCTTTTTCTGTTCTTTCCCGCTTGGGAAATCACAGCCCTCGGATTTTTCCTAAACGGGAAAATAATATTTTTTATTTTTTTAACTCTGTTTTTTAGAAATAATGTGAAGAAGGTTTTTGTGGGGTTTTCGTGGAGATTATAGGGAAATTAGTGTATATGATATTTGCATTTTTACCCTTCAGGAGGTTATTATTTTCATCTATGCCCATCACGGCGGTGCCCTCGATGGCCCGGGAGTCTGTGGTTTTTGCCTCCGTCCAGTGTCGTCTGTGGAGGGTATTTTGGTAAGTTTCTACTCTTTTGATCGATAAATTCCTTGCCGGGCCAGCTTCTGAGAGGAGCACGAGGCCACGAGGCTCCTCGCGTAGCCTCCCCCTCTCTCCGGCCCTCCTCCGCCGCCGATGGCGTCATCTTATCCTCTTCCCTGCGCCTGCCGCGGCGCCGCCTCCCGCCGCCGCCTGCTGCCGTCCTCCCCCAGCTATCTCCTCCTGCGGGCCCCCTCCTCCTCCCTCGTGCCGGCGCCGCGCCGATGGAGCAGCGAACGGAGTTCCTGCGGTGGGGCCGCCAGTTTCTTAGGGAGGATGAGAAGAAAGAGCCCGTGGCGGGATGGCAGGAAGGATTCTAGGGTTTCAAGTTGCGGCGTCGCCGGCTCGCTGGGTGGCGGACTGGCGGACGGGAGCTCGATCTTGGGCGAGGAGGAAGAGGACGAGGTGGAAGAGGCGCAGGAGGACGACGAAGCACTGGAGTCGTCGTTCTCGCCGGAGAGATGGGACGTGCTGGGCCTCGGCCAGGCCATGGTATGATGCTCTTGACCTTCCCAAGTTCTCCGGATAATTCGTCTTTTTTCCGCCCTTTTGCTTTACTAAGAATGCCTGCATTTTTCGCATTTATAATTCTTCTTCCTCCTGGAATCATGCCAGGTTCGGCCATCCGGTTTTTGAAGCAAGAACTGGTAGAACTAGGAACTTAAAATGTTAGAGAATGCCGGGGTGAAATTTCCAAAATGCTGGAAATTTCTTTTTTTAATTGCTAATCGTATGATCTATTAGTTCGTCTTCTTCTTCCTAGAATCTTCCTGTCCCCTGGTTTTTGCTGTTGACAGGATTCACATTTGCTTGAGGCTCTTATGAGCGTCTGAGATTCTGCTAATGGGCTAATTTTTTTTCCCAATTTCAGGTAGATTTCTCGGGCATGGTCGACGATGGATTCTTACAGAGATTGGGTATAGAGAAGGGCACGAGGAAGGTAGTCAACCACGAGGAGAGGGGCAGAGTCTTGCAGGCAATGGATGGCTGCAGCTACAAGGCCGCCGCTGGAGGCTCCCTCTCGAACACCCTCGTGGCTCTGTCAAGATTAGGGAGACATTCCATCGGTGGCCGTGATCTAAAAGTGGCCATGGCCGGGAGTGTTGGGAGCGATCCTTTCGGTGGGTTCTACAGGTGATCTCAGCTCCCATTTTCTCCACACTAGACATATATCTCTGCATATTCTAGTAAAATTGCCTAAGATGCAAGAAGAACCATGCCATTTTTGGGGAAATTTCCATGATATTCTCTTTAGAAGCCTGCGAATGATAGTCCCATGTTGGTTACTATAGAAATGAACTTATGATCATGTAGAAACTTATGGTCAATTGTTTCTGAGTTGGTCACAGTAGCCTCCTATTACCAGTTCTAGAGATGAGCATGTGAGCAGAAGCATGGAATCCTAATTATTTTTCAGCCAGATGGCTCAAGAATTCTCGTAAAATGTAAATGTAGAGCCTTGAAGCTCTCTTCGGCGGAGACCTGCAGATGAAGATTTTTTTTTTACTGGAAAAAGAAAAAGAAAAAGAAAAAGAAAGCATGCATTCGTATTGGTGTTCGTCGTCGCTGTGTAAGATTATAGCCTCAACTTCTTGATTGGTGGTGTAATTTTTCAGGGCTAAGTTGCGGCGAGCGAATGTGAATTTCCTCTCGGAGCCGGTCAAGGATGGGACTACGGGCACAGTCATCGTTCTGACCACGCCGGACGCTCAACGCACCATGCTTGCATACCAGGTCGCCGCCTCCATGCTTGGAAATCCTCCCCCCATCGTTGACCTCTATCGGCTTCCTCGTTAAACCAGGAACCATCTGGTTTCGCTCGGTTTTGGCTGTTTGACTGGCTATTGACGAGAGTGGCGGTGTTCCTCTTCCAGGGCACCTCCTCCACCGTCCTGTACGATTCCTCCCTCGCGAGCCTCATCTCGAAGACGAACATCCTCGTTGTGGAGGGCTACCTGTTCGAGCTGCCGGACACGGCGAGGACGATCATGAAGGCCTGCGAGGTCGCCCGCGAGAGCGGCGCCCTGGTCGCCGTCACCGCATCCGACGTCTCCTGCATCCGGCGATGCTTCGACCACTTCTGGTACGCTTTCTCCAAACTCCACCGTTCTCTGGCGGCGCCGCCAATCATATCAGTCCTCTGAGAGGGTCTTTTTCTTCTTCTTGCAGGGAGATCATCGGAGGCTACGCGGACATCGTCTTTGCGAACAGCGCGGAGGCTCGCGCCTTCTGCGAGTTCTCGCCGGCGGAGTCCCCCGTGGCGGCGGCGAGGTATCTCAGCCACTTCGTGCCGCTGGTCTCCGTCACCGACGGCCCACAGGGCTCCTACATCGGGTTGAAGGGGGAGGCCATCTACATCCCGCCGACAGCGTGCTCGCCGGTGGACACGTGCGGCGCTGGCGACGCCTACGCTTCCGGCATACTCTACGGCGTACTCAGGGGAACATCGGACCTGAAGAGCATGGGAATGCTGGCCTCGAGGGTCGCCTCCATTGTCGTTGCTCAGCAGGGGACTCGCCTCCGGGTCAACGACGCAAGGGAGCTCGCCTCCTCCTTCGCCGACAGCTTCGAGTGCTCCGGTGTCTACTCCGACTCGGGCTCGGACTTCTCTGCGTTTTAGTCTTCTCTTCTCCTCTCTCTCTCTCTCTCTCTCTCTCTATAAATCCTGCTGGTCCCGTTGATTCTTGTACCAAAGTCTGTACAGAGAACGTTCTATAGGTGACTCCTCCCCGCATTGAGGACGAGCCCTTTTGCTTGGTCTCATTTCATTGATGAATCTTGGGCTCTGCCATTCCCGGGGGCTACCCAGAAGTGCAGGTCGTGAAACACCATGGTGGCCGGACAATGGGCTTCGACCCAAGTAGATCCTTCCAACGTACCCATCTCAAAGGCTCAGCGAGAGAGAGAGAAAACAGAAGACCAGGAAGCAGAAAAATGGGACAGTGGCCAGGACTAATTTCTCACTTCGTACTTGATCTTGAGACCGAAAACTTGGGCTTCGGCCTGGCCAAGGCCGAAGACCAAGAAGCACAGAGAGAGAGAGAGAGAGAGAGAGAGAGAGAGAGAGAGAGAGAGAGAGAGAGAGAGAACAGAAGACCAAGAAGCGGGAAAATGGGTCAGTGGTCTTGACTAATTTCTCTTTTGGTATTTGATCTAGAGACCGAAAACTTGGGGTCGACCTTGGCCAGGTCATTGACGCCTCCAGTAGCCCTCTACAGATTCAGCCTTGGTGGAGCATCAAACGTCCGAAAACCGGGTAGATTTCCTTGTCCAAACACACGTTTATTCCAAATTCACAATAATAAAAGCCACAGTCAGGAAAAATAACTCTACAGTGTCGGGGTTCTCATTCTCTCTCTCTCTCTCTTTTTCTCTCTCTCTATGAAGAGATACATGTAGAGAGAGAGGGAGAGAAGGGGAGGAGAGAGATTTATATACACAGAGGTATGCGGCTCTTATTTAAGCTCTCTGGGATCCTAGTCCGTCGCATGGGCAAGCTTCTACGTAAAGATCACCAGCTCCCTCCCCACGCAGGGCCTTCTCCTCGTTCCCCTCACTCATAAGCTTAACCCACGCCGAACGTGGATCCTGTTCGGGGGAATCCCCCTTCCGTTAGACTGCCAAAGCCTTGTCGGAATCAGCCTCTCGGTCGAAGTCGTCCCCACCCCGGCTCTCTAGGCGGATTGACTTGTACCACCTGGCGCAGGCCAGGTAAATAACGAAGTCAACGCTGGTCATGGCGGCGAGGAGGAAGTAGAACCGGTCCATGTGGCCTCTGTTGAGGTTTCCGGGTATCCAGCCGGGCTTGTCTCCCCTTGCGGTGATGTCCATCACGATGGTGACGAGGATGCTGCTGACGTAGTTTCCCAAGGAGATGGAGGTCATGCAGAGGGCGCTGCCGAAGCTCTTGAGGCCGTCGGGGGCTTGACTGTTGAAGAACTCGAGCTGCCCGACGTACATGAAGACCTCGGAGGCGCCGATGAGGACGTACTGGGGGATCTGCCACATGATGCTGAGAGAGCTGCTGTTTTCGCAGTGGTGGAGGCACTCGGCGGAGCCGTATTTCAGCCGGAAATGCTCGACGATGCCGGCGGAGACCATGGCGGTGATGGCGATGATGAGGCCAACGCCCATTCTCTGGAGCTCTGTGAGGCCCTTGGGGTTGTTCTTGAGCCTGCACACCAGCGGGTGGAGGAGGCGGCGGTAGAAGAAGATGAAGACGGCGACGCTTACGATGTCGAAGGCGGACATGCTCGCCGGGGGGATCCGGAAGCTGCCCACGAGGGTTTTCATGGCGGCGCCTTGCTCGACGAAGAGGGAGGCCATCTGTGTGAACACCACGGAGTAGATGATGGTGCAGAGCCAGATGGGGAGGAGTCTCAGCACGCACTTCACTTCCTCCACCTGCGTCACTGTGCAGAGCCGCCATGGATCCCTCGCGGGGCCCAGGCTGGGGAAGTCGTCCGCAACAACCACCGCCGCCCGATCTAGGAACCTGCCATTTTCCCCTCAGTGAGTCCACCGGCTGATACATATTTCTTTAAACGAAAACCCGGAAGGGAGATACTGTGAGATGGGGAGAAGAGCTAGAAGCCCACCTAAACCCGTCGGTGTGGAGAATCCTCCTTCCTCCACTGGTGACCAGCTCCTTGCCGTCGCCCTCGAACAGGTGATTTCCGCTTGGGGGAAGCCTCACCGTCCATTTCTTCGATGCAGCCGCCACCACCTGCGCGACCCGTGAGAGGGGGTTGCCGCAGGGCTTGAAGTGGCGGTAGCGGGAGGTTCCGGCGAGGAAGAGGGCGAGGCCCAGGAAGGCGGACCCTGCGGAGGCCCAGAAGCCCAACGCCCACGAGCCCTGGTCTTGGAAGTAACTCAGGAAGGTGTTGGAGACCAGGGAACCGAGGTTCAGCGCTAGGTAGAAATAGCTGAAGAAAGACACTTTTGAGTGAGCCTCTCGCGAATCCTCCTCGTCGAACTGGTCGGCCCCGAAGGTGGCGATATTGGGCTGGTAGCCACCGTTGCCGAGCGCCACCATGTAGATGGAGAGGTAGAACAAGCCGGTCTCCGCCGCGGTGTGCGGCTCGCAGAGCTCTCGCCCGTTGCCGCAGCCGGTGGGCTTCACTAGGAACAAGTACGAGGACAGGGACAGCATCACCAAGCCCTGTGACCACAAAGCAGCAGACGAGAGTTAGATACCATTAGGGCAGATGGAGACCAACGCCTGGTTAACTACTCCATTTGGGCCTTTTGTTAGAACACTTACGGCGACAAAGATAGCTTGGAAGATGGCGCAGGTCTTGTACCTCCCCCAGTAGGAGTCACTGAGAAAGGCCCCAACGAGGGAGAAGAGGTAGACGGTGCCCGTCCACTTGCTCACGCTGTTCGCCGCGTCGGCGTTGCTCTGCTGGATCACCCTCGTTAGGAAGAGCACCAGGTTCACCCCCACGCCGAAGAAGGCCAGGGTGGCCAGCCCTTGATTCACTGTTCAGATCCACCAAACTCTCAAATCAGACGGACAAAAATGCGCAATCTCACCCAAATCACAGATAAAGAAACATAAAGAACACAACCAGGCCATATCAAAGCCCTACGTAAATAATTGTGCCTTTTTTTTAAGTCACAGGCTTACTTTAGTACGAATAAATCAACTACTATTATTGGCAAACCAGAGCTACAAATCTCTAGATTAAAGTTTCATGGCAGAGTGGAATTAGGCTATCTATGAGAGATATAACGGGAAACACCGTGCGAAAAATAGAAACGACGAAAATTAATCCTTGAGAAGCCAATGGATAATCCGATTCAAGACCACTTTATGAGAAAAAAAATCAGAAAATGATTAAACTTAATAGCGTATAAATTTGGCTGCTATGTGTGAGTAAACTGCTTAAGGCTAGGCTCTTGATGGAGGATGCTTATTAATAGTGCAAGATCTAATCGAACCATCGTAGTAATGTTCCCTGCCCACCTGAACCCACCCGACAAACCATCATTTATCTAGGTGGTTTTCAATACCATGAAGGGAATCGATGGATTTCCTATTCTTGAGGTCTCTAGAAGAAGGTTTAATTTTTATTCTTTAAGACATGAGACGTGGACTTGCTCGTAGTTCCGCTTAAAATCTCTTTTTAACCGTAGACGCTACGTGGAATTCATGGACAGAGATAGAGAAGACGATGGGGGCCTCACTTATAATTGATAATACTTGATAAGATTGCGCATGTATAAGACGCGCCGAAATATGTCATCAGACATCGAGTTTCACGGCGGGGGGGTTTCTACTAATCGATTAGACGTCAAAGACGATGGATCAATAGATGCGTTGATCATGACTCGTGAAATTCGTGGTGGTGGTAAAAGACGATGGACCAATAGATGGGTTGATCATGACTCGTGAAATTCGTGATGGTGGTAAAAGACGATGGACCAATAGATGGGTTGATCATGACTCGTGAAATTCGTGGTGGTGGTCAAAGACGATGGACCAATAGATGGGTTGATCATGACTCGTGAAATTCGTGGTGCCGAAGGTGGCGTTCAATCGACCAGTTAAATAAAGGCACCTTCTTCGGGAGCATCTATTGGCGGGCTTTCAGTCTAAGGGATGATGTCAGAGGGCGTCAGAGAAGTGTGCGGTGGGAACTGTTCTGGGCTTGGCTCAAGAGGAAGGGTCGACCCTAACCAGTGAGCCTAGCTCAGCCTGTGGCGTGGGAAGACCAGAGGTCAATGGAAGATTCATGGAGCTTCAGCTCACCGAGAATGAGAAACCCGGCAGTCCAGCCTCCCGTCTTCGCCTTTACCGCCGGGCGGCCCTTGAAATCCACAGACCCGTCTTGCGAGTAGTAGGAGGACTCTTCTTGGTCGCATCTCTTCTCCCTGCCCGCGACGTCGGTCCCTCCGGCAGTCTTCTTCTCCACCATCTCAACCACCGCTCTCTGGGAATCCTCCTGAAGCCATTCATGAGGAAAGAGACGATCATCAGAGGATAGCTAATTGAGCGTCTAACATAGGGTCTGGCGACAGCTCCCAGTGTCATCAACTCCGAACACGCAAGTGCCGGCTCGTAGCGATGGGTCGTTGGGGAACGCCGGATATTACATAAGAGAAGGGTCACACTGACCATTCCGAGCTTCTCAGAAGCGGCTGGCCGCTGCGTACTCCTCGCGGGCGTTTCTCCGTCGTGGGGAGGGTTAAACAAGTGAGAGTAGGAGGAGGAGGAGGAGGAGACTTCTGTGAGAGAGAAGTCTAGAAGAGTAATCAGAATGGGAGAGGGAGAGGAGTGGTGAACCAGGGGGTTGTATGGAGGGTCTTATATAGAAGTGGCTCAGGGAAATGAATGGCAAGGATTGTGGACGCGAACGACTCCCTGTCATCTTTACTCACCACATGTCACGCATTAAAAAGGCTTTTGCCCCGCCGGTGGGCCGGGTTTGGGGTGGGAGAGGAGGGGGCTAAGGTTCCTGTCATGGGATGGAAAATGGAAGTCCTTTTCAAGGTTGCCAAAATGATCTCACTCACTAAGAAGGAGGACGAGCTCATGTCCACACAGAAGCGACTTCAAAAGCGCCGCAAAGCACACAGATGGTAGCGATATTCGGCGTCCCTGCAAAGCCATTCCGACATGGAGACCCCAAGGAGAAGAAGGGTTAACCTGTTCATGAAACTTCCTTCTACCTCTTCTCCTCGTGCCCTCTTCTTCCTTTTATTTCCGGGGGAAGCGGTAGAGAGTTGTCTAGGTTCTGGTTCAAAGTGAAGCTTCTTGGACGGCGTAACTCATTTTGGAAGGAACAGCGTGAGGAGTATGGTTCCGTGCACGCCCTTTCCACCATTGATCAGTGATCTTGGGCATTCCTGTTTCGAGACGACGTGGGCAGTTCCAGTACTCAGATGACTTTATGTTATCTACCCATTTTAGAACATGAAGAAGCCGTATTCTTATATTTATGGAGAGGTATATATTTATACAGAGACGGATATTTAGATAGATGAGGGGGGGGGGAGTGAGAGGGGTTGCTTCCTCTCTCTAAGATGGGGTAAAACCTAGCTTACCCGCTCTTGCCGAACTTGAGAGGAAATATGAGATGAACATGTTAGAATGGACGGCAGTAGAGTCTTAGATAGGAAGACTTCGGAAAGGAATCGAAGGTCTTGTGAATAACAGGGCGATGAAGCCTAAGCTTCATGTCTACCAAGGATAAGCACAGAGAAGAAGCGAGAAAGCAGCAGAACCACCGTGGGAAAGGAATGTGCGAAGGAAAACGCTTAGGAAATGCGGAGGAATTTGGAGCGTACAGCTGTCTATAGTTTAAATTTATTTTCTTCGTGCTTTGTCTCATTGCAGCTGGATCTTATAAAGAAATGCTCCGTGCTCGTCGGCCTCAAAAATTTTAACTTTTCCCCCCCTTGAAAGGCAGGGCTGTCGCCAACCCCACGAGGGAAATAATCCCGAAAAGCTTCTTCCTTATCATCTTCTTCGTAATTTCAGGACTACGTGCTTTCTGGTTTTCAGAGAGAATCTCCCATCTCTCTCTCTCTCTCTCTCTCTCTCTCTCTCTCTCTCTCTCTCTCTCTCAGTCACACACACACATTCACGATCTAAATGCTTCGTTTACGGCGGATCTGGGCTTGATCTGGGACTTATGCCTCCCATCTAAAAGGCACTGCCCTTCCTCTGGTCTCTTTCAGAACCCAACAATCCTCTGCGCCCAAATATGTCACACCCGGCTGTCGTATTAAAGGCACGTACGTGGCTTTGTTGGGAAGTGAACTCAACTCGGAGTGGGGGGAGGTGTGCCCTAGCTCGCTCCACACCAAACCTAAGAAGCTGGGCTGTAGATCCTCCTCCGATAAGGACGCCCAACCTCTCACATTCTGGACTCTAGGGCTTCCCATTTGTGCCGAAAGCTCTTCAAAAGAACACGTTTCTCTCGTGTGGGTTACCTATAACCGGATCCATTTGGGGTTAAACCCGACCTTTCAATTCAGTATTATCTGGGTAGCATCAGATTTTGTGTTAATCGTTAAAGAATCCACTTACATAAACCCCACGCTAATGATCTTTCTAATGAATCCAAGAAAGGATTTCGGAGTTCCCCCTGTGTTTTTATTTGCCGATATTTTGTCTTCAGTCACCACATGCACCACAGGTTCTTGAAACGTCAACGCTTCCATTGATTCCATGTGGTGACAATCGCTAGGTAGTTCGTCAAAATCTTGGGAAAAGCGATCACCGATGCCGACGGCGGCCAACCCACTGCGACGGCTGCCTCGGGTCGCCGTGTCTGCGCATTGACTTCAGGAGTAAGGAGATCTGGGCGATCCGTGAGGTATTATCCATCCGTATAGGAACGGAAGTAGAAGAGAACCAGATATGTGGCTTCGCTCAGCGGCCTGGTCGTCGGCTGAGCAACGAGAAAGCCCACCCTCGCAGACCCTGCCGAGGACAGACATCTGGGGTTGCCGTGTCATTTTCCGGATCTGACGGAAGGCCTGGTCAAGAGGGGACCGCCGGCAGAAGGGAGAGAAGAGACGCCATCGGGAGCTTCAAACATGAGCTGGCCAGAGTTCTGGAGGGTTCCAAAGAAATCTTACGAGCCGAGATTTCAAAATTTACCACTTGAAGTCTGCCCTCGTCTATAAAAACCTAGCACGACGCCATGGCGTTTGCTTTCAAAAACTGGGCCATTGTTTAACAGTTCCGGCCGCGACAACAGCGCATCTACAGGCATAAAAAATTAGCTTTCTACAGGCATATGAGAAGCGCAGCTTTTGAAAAGTCCTCTAAAGAATAGAGGGAAGTGCGTGGCGGGGCTAGCGGTCACCATCTGCTTCTTAGATAACGCCGACACGAGGACAATGTGCCACGACAGCGCTATCAGGACGGTGAGCGGCACAGCGATGGCGCCTCTCGCAACTGGAATATGCCCCGGCTCTGCGGCGGCCTCGCCGAACCCTTACCGGTGGGCTACGATACAAAGTTCGGCATTTCTTGTACAAGCGTGATCTGCAGTACGCCATTTCTGAGTTTTTAATGCGTCCGAAATCAAACACTCGCATCAACTGGGCTATAAAGCTTTCTCTGGGACCCAACCGGGTCTTAATCTCCGTAATTAAGAGGTTATTTTATGAACGGGCAAACGACAGGTTACCCTTTTCTCTTATTTATGTGACAAGAGCTGATGAAGAGTTCATCTCCTTATGATTTTATTATGGCGAGTGTAGGAAACGCCATGGATTCAGCTTTGTGGGGACTCCAAAGCATTATGCTTTCCGATGATTATACTGAATGGCAGTTAGCTAGTCCGGCGGTTTGCTTTGAGTAATCGTCCTAAGGTTTGTCCGTAGATTTGGCTCTTGGTTCTCATGAAACAGTCCGGGAATAAGTTGTCCCATCGTCTTGTCGGAGAAAGAAACCCTTCCGCTGGAATTTACTGCAAAGAAGGATCCAGAGACGATACTGTGCCTGGAGGTTCTCCCTCATCCGATGAAGGCAGGGCCACTTGTGACCAGCTTCTTCAGGAAATTCCCCCTCGTGGATCCAGGAGGGCTAGCTCTGTACCTATGAAACCCTACAGAGCTCAGATTCTGACCAGGGCGGAAGAGACTGCGTGAAGTTTTCCTGTCACCCTCCCCGCCCTCTTCCTTATCCCCTCCCACCGTTGCCGTCGCCGTCGACAGTGGGCCAGTGAGAAGCAGGCGCTCGTATGCACGGTCCACAGCTTATCATCACCACCAACTGCCCCCACCGCCGGCAAGAGGTGAACAGGAATCTTTCTTTTTCTGGATTCCCTATGCTCTGTCGTAATATATAAGCCGAAAGGAAGATCATATGCGAATTCTATAGCTCCTCCTCCAGCGGGCTTATCACATAGGCCACGCCGTGCCGCTCTGCCGCCTCCTCGTCTCCCGACCGCTTCCGGTGAGTCAACAGTGCCAATAAGCGCACGTTTGTGCCGCAACTCCGTCAATCACGCCAGATGTCGCATCTCCTCTGCGGACCCCTTAGCTGTCCGGTTAATTCCTAATTTTTCCTCCTCCCAGACGAACGAGCGGTCCACACAGCCTCTCGTGAAGAAAGATCCGCCGGAGGGAGGAGAAAGAGATAAGAACGGTCTCGTCATCCTCCCGGACAGCGAACCTGGACGTTTCTGTGCGCGTCTGCACTCCCCCTGCAGAACCTTTGGGGGGAGATCAGATCGATCTCAGACGCCCTTCCTGACTCGTCGACTGATCTTGCCGGGTTTCAACCCTCCCACATTGAAACAACGATGAGTATTTCACACATTCTGATCATCCATGTTGATCCCACTCAAGAGAGAAAGCTCCATATTATATCATCTGGTTCATGCATACGTAAATCCATCTGGTAGATTGAGTGATAATATTCGGGAAATTATTTTTTTAGGGCTTCGGTTTGCTTTGTGATGATGGCAGCATTTTACTCGGTGGAGGATAACATAGGTTACTGACATTAAAGTAGTTGTTTGCGTATCGAAAATATTTAAACCGAGTTATTGACCAAGTGCGCATGTTAATCTGCGCATTATGGAATCAATATACAGCAAAAGTAACCAAATTATACGGCACGATGTCAAAGTTACGAAGTATAGCCGCAGATCGTAGCGACTTTAAGACCGGCATCTGAGTGAATGGTGGTGCTTAAATAACTGGATAATTTAGAATAAATAAGGTAAGTCTGACGAAAATGAACGAGCTTTGGGATATTAAAGTAGTTCGTTAACAGTAACTTGCTAGCCCATTAACTCCGGTTGACCTAATCATCAATAAACTACTGCGATCATATCTCCTTTGGGCCGAATGCTGGTTACAGATTCATCACGGTTCTTCCCATTGGTTTTTTTATAAAAAGAATGAACGAACCCTGGAACACAAGGGATCACTGGCAGCGAAGCTTCACGTGTCCCCATGACTTGTCGGGGTTCTGGATGTCTGGTTCATGAGAAAAATAAAGAACTTTTCCCTAGCTCTGACAGGGGACCCAATTAGGGTTAGTGCGGGCTTTGACAGCTCGAGTCAGCGTCTTCTCCGTCTCCGGTCCCCCTTGCCAACTGTGCCGCAGGAGATCCTCAAGCTGGATTGCACTCGCACGCTCGGATTTGGTGTTTCACATCTCTGGCTGGCCACTGGCTGACCTATATCTTATCCCTACGGTTCTTTGGGATCGCCCACGCCGCCTCTGGCGGGTCTCAGACGCCCAATCGCCGCCATCGCCCGTGGGTTCGGCGGCTCTTTCTCCTATCACATAAGATATTCCCGTCAAGGATCTCCGGGGCCGCGTTTCGGGTCTCCTCTCTGAAAGGGTGCCAACTATCACTGGTTTCCCAGAAGGCTCCCTATGGGGGGGCAGTGGTGAAGACGACTCCCAAAGCCCTAACAGCTCCATCAGTCGCCCTCCGAAGAGATACGAGGCGATGAAGCTCCTGCGAGTGCCCTTCCCTCCCTCCTTCCCTCCTTCTCTCTCACTCTCTCTCTCTCTCTGTCTCTCTCTCTGTCGCTCGCTCTCTCAATCTGCATACACATCTAGAAAGGCCTTTTCACGCCGCATGATTTCCTTGATGAGGTCGGCAGCTTTGCTATCATCCCTTTCCTTCTCTATATGGGCCCATAACTTCATCCTAATTGGGCCGACCCAAAAGTATGCTTGTTCGAGTCGCGCGACCTGGACTGCTAACAATTCAGTCGGGAACCGGGAACCGGGATTTTGGGCTGTACAGTTGACTTGTTAGCTTACCGGCCCATTAAAACCCATCGAATTGGGTGGGGGCAAATCCTTATCGTGGGCCGACAAAGCCCATGTTTCTTATTAGTGGTCCATTTTTAAAGCCCACCTACTTCCCCCGGGTGGGTAAATCCCTAAACTGGGCCGTTTGAATAAACCAAGTTGGTTTTGTTTGGTCGGTGAACAAGAGACGTCGATGGCAAGCCCAGGCCCATTATTCTTAATATGGGCCCGATCAAAATGATTCCAGGCTCATCACCCGGAGCCATTGTCGATTAAAAGTTGGGCTTCACCCGGAATAGTAAATGCACGTGACATTTGGCCCAAACCATTTGGACCATCAAGTGGGCTCCTCCTCTATATAGCTTGAGATATCTCAGGTAAGAGTTTCGATATTCATTTTATTAAAAAAACTAATTATATTAAAAATAAAATATTTAGTACGCATATTTAAGCCTTTCAGCAACCTCTCAACAAATAATGAATTATATAAATTATTCTTCCCTTAGATAATTTGTGAGGCCCGGTAATTTGTGATTAAATATCTGATTATTTTCTATGTTTCCAGAGCCTACTGACATGAACCACATGAATATGGTATTTTGGTTGATTAAATTTTCAGTTATTATAATAAATTGGAAACATACGTCATAAAAGTGATTTATTATAATTTATTATTATATGATGCTGAAATGATTTCGAAACCAATGGTGACCCGAAAACACATTTACTTGAGAGCTTGAAAACATCTAAAAAATACCTAAAAAAGAATAAAAAGCTATGGATCATTAATGACGGTAAGTTGCGAAGCTCAGGCTAGTTCGATGATGTTTTCTTCATCAGTGGACCGAAAGAGATGAAGAAATGATGGATATTCGTAGAGGGGTTGACATCAAACACAAGAGTCAAAATTACACATTTTCCGTACGTCCTGGCAGGATTTGCTCGTCGTCGAACCCTGAGCCAGAGCATCTTGAGGGGAGAGAGAGTGTGTGCGTGTGTGTGTGTGTGAGAGAGAGAGAGAGAGAGAGAGAGAGAGAGAGAGAGAGAGAGAGAGAGAGAGAGAGAGAGAGAGAGAGAGAGAGAGAGAGAGAGCTCTCATTGATGTTGTTAGTTGAAACAGAATGGATTGCAGGAATGCATTACAAGAATGTAATGGCTTGTTTTCCCGAGACAGTATCCTGTATTCCGAAGTCGTCGTCGAGCACGGTCGGGGGACCGTGGGATACCGGTGGGGCCTTATTCGGGGGTTGGGCTCACTTGGGATGCGCTCACACCACGGAGTTACTGACGAGTCGTCGGTTTCCTGCTCATGCGGGCCCTACTCCCTGTCTTCTTCTGACATCGGGGTTGGAACACATCAGATGTTCTCGCTGTCCACCTGGCGCGATCAGAGCCGTCTGTTGTCTGTTGGACGGCTGCCGCGAGGGACGGCAGCACCGCCACCGCCAGGTCTCTGTCAACGTCCTCTCTCTGTCTCTCTCCTCGCCGGGGTCAGCGCCTCCTTCCTACCCGGACCCCCCCCCACCCCTCAGCAAGAAAAAGGTCTGCTTTTACCCCTCGTCTTTCACCTTCACTGTCCTTTCAGCTGCAACGTCATGGTGGAAATGGGAGGGAAGGAGGAGAAGAGGAAGCTTTTCTTCTGGCTTTTCCAACTGAAAGTTTTTCGTCTATCCCCACTCTTACGCCCCCCCTCTCCCCCTCTCTCTCTCTCCCTCGCTCTCTGTGGGCATCTGATCTCCTTTTGGTTTGAATCATTTTAGAATAATTTCTTCGTGGGTCGGGTGGGGTCGGGCTCTGAGCGGAGCAGGGCCAACCAGTTGGCCCTGACCTTGGCCGTGGAAGGTGGTTTCCATAACTGGGCGCCTGTGCAGGGCACGGCGGAAGCAGCAAGGGGACACGGCACGCCATCTCAGAGCCGCAGAAGGGGGGGAGGGTTGGCGCGGCAGTAGCAGCAGTCTCTCTGGGTTCTCCTGCGCGGCTTTCTCTGCTTGCCCGTTCCGAACCCATTGCGAGCCCCCACCCTCTCTGCTCGGTCGTCGTCCGATCACGTGCGCCGCCCCAGGCCTCTCCTATCATCGTCCTGTCATGTGACCCTTCTCTCTCTATCTCCAGAACCGGCGCGCATCCTTCATCGCCGCCGCCGCCACCCCGCCCTCCTCCACTCCGATCCCTTTGCGGGTTTCCCCCTCTCGGAGTTGCTTCTTCTTCTTCCTCTTCGATTGGTGCTGCTGCGGCGGCAGACGGGACTGTAGAGGGGTGCTGGGCGGTGTTCTTCTCGTTGCTATTTACTTCGCCGGGTCCACTGGCAGGGGTTCAGTGAAGCAGAGAGTGTAGGAGAGAAGAGGAAGAAGAGATGGGCTGCCTTCAGTCGAAGACGAGCAATGTTCAGTCGCCCGACGTGGAGTCCCTTAAAGGCGACAAGCCAGATCTGCGTACGCGCATTCCTCCTGTATCTTCGCGTTTGGCTTATATCTTCCTCATTTTTCTTCGATCCTTTGTTGATTGGCGCATCTTTCTCGTTATTTTTTCTGGCTTGCTGACGGCAGAGAACGGGGAGGCGGAGAGAGCGGCGGTGCCGGCGTTTAAGGAGTTCGGCCTGGCGGAGCTGCGGGCGGCGACCAACGGGTTCAGCGGCGAGCTCATCGTCTCTGAGAGCGGGGAGAAGGCCCCCAACGTCGTCTACCGCGGACGTCTCGATGCCAACCGCTTCGTCGCCATCAAGCGCTTCTCTAAGCAGTCCTGGCCTGATGCCCAGCAGTTCGTGGTCAGCTCTCTCTCTCTCTCCGCCCTGTGCCAGATCGAGACGCCATTTCCATCTCCTTTGGTTGGGCCATTTGTTCCTTCTTCAGAATCTTTCTTCCTGGAAATTTCTAATTGCCGGAAGAGTTTGGGTGGTAGGCGGAGGCGGCCGGAGTGGGCAAGGTGCGGCACAAGAGGCTGGTTAACCTGATAGGATGCTGCGCCGAGGGCGACGAGCGCCTCCTGGTCGCCGAGTACATGCCCAACGACACCCTCTCTAAGCACCTCTTCCACTGTACGGACCTTCTGGAGATCTCTCTCTCTCTCTCTCTCTCTCTCTCTCTCTCTCTCTCTCTCTCTCTCTCTCTCTCTTTCTCGCCATGATTTTGTCTCTCTCTCCTTGCTATTCCATTCCCCGGCAACTATCGTGGGCTTCCTGATCGCTAGAACAGTGGATCATCCGATCTTGAAGCCCTCAACTTTAGTCTCTCTTTTAGTTACTAGCGATAGCAGGAAGCAGGAAGATCGTCGGGACAGCAGATCTTAGTCGTGGCTCCCCGGCTCATTGCTGTCTTCGTGGCCGCCTCCACGGGGTTCTGCACAGATTGGAACGACCTTCTCTCCTTTCCATTTCTGTAAAATAGTCCGAAGTCGGTCAAACTCATCGGCAACGGAAGTAACTCCTCTTAACTGCAAGTAACGGCATCTGATACTCTGACTTTTGTTTCAAGCTCGAAGTAACGGCATCTCCTCCGCCTTGAGTTTGTTAATGAGGCCTTTCATTGGGCTTTCCCTCAGTTTTTTTCAGACCATTATTAGAAAGTGGGAATAAGTCAACTCCTGTGTGTCAGTGAAGGTCAACGCTGAAGATTTCGCTCGTTTCTCAGGGGACAAGCAGCCTCTGCCTTGGGAAATGCGTGTCCGGGTGGCGCTCCACATCGCACAAGTGCTCGACCATTGCAACAGCGAGAACCGGAGGATCTACCACGATCTGAATGCTTATCGAGTTCTCTTTGATGAGGTATGATCCCTCGCATGTTTCCACTATAAATTTCTACATTATAGTGATGATTTGAATTCGGTCTCTCATGCTCATGATACTCATTCAAGCATCATCTTTGTTAATTCTATGTTCATCATTATATTCTTATGATTTTTGATAAATTCCTTTTTATGTTCTATATCAAGATCAAGCCCCCGATCCCGTTTCTCTCTGATGAAAAGATTGATCGTGGTTTTTAACGTTTGCTCCATGGGCCTGCCGTTCCATTTCATCACTCTTTTCATGGCCCAGATGCATATTTTTCTCCTTACATCCGATGACTTTCTTATCCATCTAAGTTGACTTGTATTCCTTTTGAATGCTGGATCATTTACATTGCGCCCGTTAATTCTTTCATAATTTGTGATAGATTTTGATGGTCACAGGCTGGGCATTTTTTCTATGGAATCATTTATCCCGGAGAAAACTGAAAAGAACCCTAATTTTTGTCTCCACCAGTCATGATCTCTAGAAAATAAATTGCCAATTTTATTTTCTCTGTATAAAGTCTGTCCTGTGATCGATTGAGCTCCTCCACTGGGGATTCAACGTGTCCATATATTTAGATTTTTGCTCGTGCACAGGTTCTTTAGCTCTGATAAGCGTATTTACCCACAGGATGGTGATCCTCGCTTGTCAAGCTTCGGTCTTATGAAAAATAGCAGAGATGGGAAAAGCTACAGCACCAATTTAGCCTACACACCTCCAGAGTTCTTGCGCACAGGTCAGCGTTTGACTTTTTAGGTTTCCCAAATTATCTCTGTTTGACATTAAATATAACTCTCTCTCTCTCTCTCTATACATATGTGTGCATAGTTGTACATCATCTCTGCTATAATTCTGGGTAGTATTCTGTGGTGCTGCAGGCAGAGTCATTCCAGAGAGTGGCATCTACAGCTATGGGACAGTTCTATTGGACCTTTTGAGTGGCAAACATATACCTCCCAGCCATGTACATTTCCTCCTACCTTGGTCATTATTTAGGAGGAGTTCCGTATCTTTTGCCTTGCATATATCTCATATATGATTTGCTGCATTTTTTTTTCTCCCAAAGACTATGCATGCGACTATTTTCGTTATTTATTCATCTTTATCCATTTAAATTTTTCTGGGTTGAAGATTCATTAAACTCATTCATATACAGTTGGAATCGTATTCTCTTAGGAAAGCACTCTTCGTCTCTTAGGAAACCAAGTTTTCGTCTGTGTGGATTCTTATATCCACCATTTTCTATATAAATGAGGACATTGATGATTGAATGGTTAACAATTTGAGAATGCGTAATGTGCCGTGGGCCATTCATTCTGTGTTTCTGATTTCGGCTGGAATTGGGAACGCCCAATCGGATCTCTCTTTTGGGCACCTGATTTTATTTGCTATAAAAAATCACATTATCCACTCTAATTGGGCAATTTCGTCTGAAAACTGGCCTGAAAAAGTGCTGATTTTGGGTTTTTTGATGGAGAAAAAATCCAGATTTTTATAAAATTAGTTTGATGAAGACATCATATGCACCTATATCTCAGGTTACTAGTCATAACTGTGTGCGAGTGGCCCAAATCTATAGAGAAAAATCCCTGATATGGTGCTACTAATCTTTTCATTGAATGCTGTTTTACGACGGATAAGTCTCATCCAAAAAAAAAAAAACCAAGAAATAACCTTTATTCGTAAACATGCTTCAAATATAATACCGATAAATATATGCATTGTGTTTAATGAGTTTATATATATATATATTAATTTTATCAGTCCATTTGGCGACCATACTTGGAATTCTTCTGCATGCTTCATGGAGGCCATCATCTGGGGATCCTTTTTCCGGAACATTACCTTCATCTCTGCATTCTCATGGGCGTTTTCTTCCTCAGGCGCTTGATCTAATCAGAGGGAAGAACATATTGCTTCTACTGGACTCCTCCCTGGAGGGCCAGTATGCCAACGAAGACGCCACCAAGCTGGTGGAGCTTGCTTCGAAGTGCCTCCAGTCAGAACCCCGGGACAGACCCAGCTTCAAGTTTCTCGCCGCCGCCGTATCTCCCCTGCAGAAACAGACGGAGGTAGATTTAATTTAACTTAATTTGATTTTAGTCGATATTTTTTATTTGGCAGAAATTTCTGTTGATAATATGGTAGCCCTTTTTGGTGTAATTTATATTTACCGTTGGATTTAATCTGAGTTTTTATTTCAACAAAATCCAATTTTTGGGTGGGCGGGGGGGGGGTGGGGTGGCGTGCAGGTGGCGTCTCATGTTCTGATGGGAATAACGAAGACAGCAGTGGTTCTTCCGACCATGCTGTCTCCCCTTGGGAAGGCCTGTGCGAGGATGGACCTCACCGCCGTCCATGATATCCTCCTGAAGACGGGCTACAGGGATGAGGAAGGAGCCGAGAATGAGGTTGGTGGTGCAGCTGGTTTTCTTGCCATTTATAGCCTCCTGGGCACCTCCTCTCTGAGTCATTCGACTGTTTTGGCTGGGTGATGCAGCTGTCTTTCCAAGAGTGGACTCAGCAAGTGCAGGAGATGCTGAACACGAAGAAGTTCGGGGACATCGCCTTCAGAGATAAGGACTTCAAGAGCGCCATTGATTACTATTCCAAGGTCTGGTTCTCTCCCTCTCTCTCTCTCTCTTCTGGGGGTGGGAGGTGGCGGTGCTGATCTTGTTTCTGTGGGGGCGCAGCTGGTGGGGATGATGTCGGTGCCTTCGGCCACCGTCTTTGCCAGGCGGGGGCTGTCCTACTTGATGAACGGGCAGCCGGAGCTCGCCCTCCGGGACGCCATGCAGGCGCAGGTCTGCATGCCGGAGTGGCCAACGGCATTCTACCTGCAGGCTCTCGCCCTCTCTAAGCTCGGCATGGAGACCGACGCACAGGACATGCTCAACGACGGCGCCGCCTTCGAGGCGAGGAAGCAGACCGGCTATCGGCTCCTGTGAGCTCTTCCTGATCCTCCGATCGCCGCCGATGCGCCGCCACCGCACGACGGTCGGCGGCGATCAAGACGAGCGCAGGCGTCGGAGAAGGAGCGAGGGACCGGGTCCAGTGGAGGCCTGTACAGAGAAGGATGGCCTAGGAAGAGGTGGCCGGTGAATGGAGGACTTTCTCCCATTCGCCGCCGCCCGCGTCGTGTAAAAATCTCTGAAGGAACTCTTCTGACCGACGATCTGGCTCCAGGGGACGAAAGCCTTGGGCAACCTCCTCGGCAGTGAAGGTTTCCTACAGCGAGCACGTAGACCGGTCGACCGTTGGTCCGGTTTTCCTCCTCCACTGGTCAAACTCACAGTAGTTCTCGTCACTAGGATCCGATCATCAGCTCGATCCGAGCTCGGTCCCCTGCGTTGACTACGTGCCTCCTCTCCAATGTTCGAAGGGTAATTTTACATGTTGAGATATCCTTAGCCGACGCTGCCATGTGCGACCGGATTGACGTTGACTGGCTACAGCGACCTCCATCGCATTCAGATATGCTGGTCAGGGTGACGAGTATCGGATAAAGGTTGACCATAAATCCGCTGGCGCACTGTTTCTTCACCAAATCACACCCCTTTTAAAATCTTTCCATGAGAATACATTCCACATAATTATTATTTCATTTTCCTATTAAAATATTAATATCTGCTCTTTTCTCATTTAAATAATTTCCGTATCAGCATCCTCCGGTAGCTGGCTCCCCCCCCTCTCCCTTTCCTCTCTCTCTCTATCCCCTCTCGAAAGTGGGCTAGTAGTGGCAAGCGGGGGAGACGCTCGCGCGGAAGGCGACAGCCGGCAGGCGAGAGCCTAGCGGGGCGGGCGTTTCTCCCGTCTTATCGTTTCTGGGCATCGGGCATTCAAATCCCCAAAGAGGAGCCCCACTATATAGCTACCAGTACAGCGGCGGCAGTGTGGGGATTGTGAGGAGGGGAGTTAAGCGGTAGGCGAAGATGGAGGGGCTGGTGGGAGCGGCAGTGCTTCTGGCGGCCGGCTTCGCCGGGCTGGCAGTGGTGATGAGCGGGCTTCTGCGATGGGCACACACCTGGTTCCAGGAACGGGGGCTGGGGAAGGAGCTCCGGCAGGCTCTGCCGCCGGGGGACATGGGGTGGCCTATCTTGGGCAACATGCTGTCCTTCCTCCGCGCATTCAAATCTGGCCGTCCCGACTCCTTCATCGCCGGCTTCGTCCACAGGTCTCTCCCTCTCTCTCTCTATCTCTCTGTACATTTCTGTGTCTCTGTTTCTCTTGATTCTGCCGCCATGCGCGAGAAGATGGCTAGGTTTTTCTTCATGGGAAAAGAGGGGAGAGGGGTAGAGGAATTGGGGGCATCCGTTCTATTTGTCAACCAGAGTTTCCCATCGGAGAGCAAGAGGGCTTCTGGGTCTTGCATCTGGCGGCTCGCCTTTGACTTTGGTGTGGGTGCAACAGGTTTGGGCGCACAGGAATGTACAAGGCCTTCATGTTCGGGAGCCCCACGGTGATGGTGACGACGCCGGAGGGCTGCAGGCAGGTGCTGATGGACGACGAGCACTTCGTCCCTGGCTGGCCCAAGGCCACCGTCGAGCTCATCGGGAGGAAGTCCTTCGTGGCCATCCCGCCCGAGGAGCACCGCCGGCTGCGACGGCTCACCGCCACCCCCATCAACGGCCATGAAGCTCTCTCCACCTACCTCAAGTTCATTGAGAAGACGGCGGTGCAGGCCCTGGAGAGGTGGGCCGGGATGGAGGAGATCGAGTTCCTCACCGAGCTCCGGCGTTTCACCTTTCGGATCATCATGCACATCTTTCTCTCTTCCGGCAGCGATTCCACCATGGACTCCCTGGAGAAGGTCTACACCGACCTCAACTACGGCATGAGGGCGATGGCCATCAACCTCCCCGGTTTCGCCTACCACAGAGCCCTCAAGGTGTTCCTCCTCCTCCTCCCCTCTTTCCCACATTGTTCCCGATCTCATTACATGTATTCTGCAGGCTCGGAAGAAGCTGGTGTCAAACCTTCAGTCGTTCCTCAACGAAAAAAGAGCGAGGAGGGCTCAGGGCGTTCCCGCGGTGAAGGACATGATGGATGCCCTAATCGAGGTTGAAGACGACGATGGCAGGAAGCTGGAGGACGAGGAGATCATCGACGTCCTTATCATGTACCTCAACGCCGGTCACGAGTCCTCTGGCCACATCACGATGTGGGCCACCGTCTTCCTCCAGGAGCACCCTGAATGCTTCAGAAAAGCCAAGGTACCGAGATGGCTCAACGAACTCCATTTCCCTTCTTCGATTAATCTCCGTTTCAGCTCTTCCTGGTTTTATACACGAGAAGCTCGATTCCCGACTCGCTGCAGGAAGAACAGGTGGAAATCAGGAGGAGCATGCTATCCTCGCAGACCGGATTAGCCCTCAAAGATTATCGAAAAATGGAGTATCTTTCCAAGGTTTGCTCGGATCCCTCGAGGCATTAAACACCCACCAAATCCCAGTTTTAAAACATCTGAACTCGATCTTGAAGGTCATCGACGAGACTCTGCGCCTGGTCAACATATCACTAGTCGCATTCCGAGAGGCAACTTCCGACGTCAAGGTCAACGGTTAGTTACTGCAAACCCCATGCGTTGACCACTGCCTGTTACTAATTAATGGCTGGCGATCCCATTCTTTTGGAAGGATATATGATCCCCAAGGGGTGGAAAGCCCAGGTCTGGTACAGGAACGTCCACATGGATCCTGAAGTTTATCCCCAGCCGAAGGTTTTCAGTCCAGCTCGATGGGATGTAAGTACTAGTCCATTCACAAGCCAACTTTGTTTAGAGATACAACGGGCCGGCCCGTCGGGCTATCTTATACCCATAACGGGCTTTATAATGGGCTTCAGGGGGTGATCCCAAAGCCCGGAACTTTCCTCCCATTCGGTGGAGGAAGCAGGCTGTGCCCCGGAAACGATCTGGCGAAGCTAGAGATCTCCGTCTTCCTTCACCATTTTCTCCTAAATTATCAGTAAGTTCTTCCCAATTTCTTCCTTTTTTTTTTTTTCCAAGTTTGGTCCATAAATGATGAATCCCGGGCCGGGCCCATAGAGAAGCCCGAAAAATTATGGCCCTAGCCTGATTCGGGCGGATCCCAGCCCATTCGCAATCCTTATTCGAGCCGCCCATTTGATTCGTCGCAGGCTCACTCGGCTCGACCCGGAGTGCCCCGTCCGGTACCTGCCGCACACCAGGCCCATTGACAACTGCAGAGCGAGGATCAGCAAGGTGTCGGCGTCTCCAACTTGAGAGAACAAGAGAGAGAGAGAGAGAGAGAGAGAGAGAGAGAGAGAGAGAGAGAGAGAGATATGGTTTCTGTTGATTATTCGATTTTCTGGTGTCGGTATTGAGGAAATAACATTTAACTGCAAGAGTTGTTAAATATGGAAATTAATCAGTTTCATTGATTATTATGACTAATTCCCTGATTTTAAGTTAGATTATTCTACACGTGCGAATATGGCGGAATTACGCCTGTTTGACTTCCGGTGACGTTCTCTACAAATATCACGGGATATATATATATATATATATGGATTTTGTTGATTATTCGATTTTCTGGCGGCATTTTGTGGAAATTACGTTTCGCTGCAATAATTATAATAATTGAAATGATTTTTTTTACAGAATTCTAATATAAGGTTATAAATAATTCATCGATTTTAGTGTAGATTTAGAGGCTCGACACGTGTGAATGGCGGATAAGTCGCCTGTTTGACTGTAGGCTACGTTCTTCTGGAATCTGATTCCAGCCGTCCTTTCTCACGGTCCATGTATAAATATCTAGACATAGTTTTTGTTGATTATTCGATTACTAGTAGCATTGTTGGGGTAATAAAATTTAACCGCACTAATTATAATATAAGTAAATGATTTATTTTTTTTCCAATTTAATGGGTTGTCTAAGGTTATTATAAATAACTCTTTGACGTTAATCCATATTTACAGGCTCGACACGACGAATAACGGGAACTAGTCGCCTGTTTGACTTTTGGTGATGTTTTCCAGGAATCTGACTCTAGCCGTCCGATCTCACGGGATGCCTGTGGATGGTCGCTTGTCCACGTGGATAGACAATATTGTGAAATCTCGAAAGTACCCTTAGCGGCGGGGATGGAGGCTGGGCGGTTTTACCGTTATTTTGGCTGAACGGCTTGGGCAAGTGGACACAGATGGGGACCACCTCGTCCTCATCCGTCGCCCGAGCGCGGGAGTAGGAAGCTGCAAAAGGCAGGGAATATAAGGCTTTATATTTAAATGAACCTTCTTCTTCCTTCTCTTTTACTTGTGGCAGACGAAGACGGAGAATATGAGTTGCAACGCAGGCGGGGATGGTGGGAGGGAAGACATGACGTGATGCGGAGAAGCTATGGGGAACGGCTTCTCCTCCTCTGTACTCTTCTCCGCCCGCCAGTCGCGGACAGCTGAGGGGCGTCGCTCCATCGTCGATTCATGGATGCGCGAGGATGAGACGCAGGGGCACTCCTTCCGGTACGTCCGACGCTCTTCATCCTCTCCGCGGCGGTCTTCCGCTGCATCTTCTTCTTCCCGGCGTCTCGGTCGCCAGGATTCCGTCCCACGCCGCACAATCGGGGCCATCTCTGGTGCTGTTGTCTCGGGGAACTCCTCCACGAGGCCTATCCACATCCGGGCTCAGACTTTCCGGGATGAATCTGCTGCTTCGCCGGCACCGTCCAATCCCCCCGGCTTCGAGGGATCTTGCTCCTTCTCTGCCGCCCCCCTTCAGCTATCTTCTCCCGCGGCGACTGCCGTCTCGTCTGTGCCAGTCGATCGCTCGGTCTCTCTGCCTGGTCACATAGGCCGTGGGGAGCTCTCCGAGCTTCGTGATAGCTGCGGCGTCCCCTTATCCGCTTCTCCGGCGAGCAAGATTGACGAGAGGAAAAGTAGGGGCGTTTTTCCCGTGAGTGATTATCCTCTGGTCCGAAGGGCGTCACTCTTTCTTCGTCGGGGTTTCTCGGAGAGGATCCGCCCCTTGAGCATCCCCGTCCGGGATCGGCAGCGATCGTTCATGCAGTGGGGTCACAGCAAGGCCGGCGAGGACCGGGTTCACGTCGTCGTGTCCGAGGAGCACCGGTGGTTATTCGTTGGCATCTATGACGGGTTCAATGGCTCCGACACCGCAGAATTCCTCGTCGCCAGTCTCTACCGGTCCCTCTCCAATCAACTCGAGGGGTTGTGCGGGGGAAATGTGCAAGAATTACAAGATTCAGGGAGATCGATGTCGGAAGAAGAAGCAGTTGGACTTCGGAGGGAATTGTCACTTCTTCAGTCGTCAAAAATTGAGAGACCACTCCATGATTTTCTCGCCGACAGAAAGGACGATCAAGTCCCCCGTGCATCAGACTCCATTTCTAATTGTTTCATGTTTCTTCCGTGGAACTTGACAAATCGGTTTGGAAGACGGCAAAGACAAAGACATCGGATGGAATTCCTGCAATGGAGACGGGGTGAAGAAGGCCAGTACAAGGCGACAGGGGAAGCTACAAGCCAGGAGCGGGGAAAGACGTGGAAGCCCAACCATGCTGTGGACCACGGACTGGTTCTGGAAGCTCTATCACGGGCACTGGAGATCACGGAGGTTGAATACCTGGAGAGATTGGACATAGAAATCCGTCAGAACCCGGAGCTGGCCCTCACGGGTTCATGTGTTTTGATAGTTCTGATGAGGGACGAGGATGTGTACGTAATGAACGTCGGAGACAGCCGTGCTATTATTGCGCAACACAGGCCTGCGGTGGTGGTGGCTGGGAGATCTGAGAGAGAGGAGAACAGTAAAGATGTGTTTACTTCGGAAGAAGATATTGTCGAGGAAGTCGGCTGCGGAGTTCAGCGTGAACATCCTGCAATGGAGCTTGTCGCTTTGCAGCTGTCCACAGACCATAGTACAAGCATTGAAGATGTAAGAATTGTTTTATATATCCACCTCAAATGATAGATTTGAATATTTTTCATTCTATAATATTTATATTTTCTAATTCTTAAATATTATTATTGATTCGTATGAATGATCTTTGATCATTTAGAAGATGTCAATGTTCGAACACCATCCGCTTCATATAATTCCTCACCTGCTCTGTTCTTGATTTTGAAGGAAGTGCGCAGGATCAGGGAAGAACACCCGGATGACAGCAAGTGTGTTGTGAATAATAAGGTTAAAGGTCGTCTCAGGGTCACCCGAGCTTTTGGGGCTGGATATCTCAAACAGGTATCCACATTGTGCCAAGTATATTACGTCTAGATTCTCCTTAAATAATTAACTTCTGAACATCTTCCAGGAATACAGAATTGTTTACTAGACAGAAATCTGTGATGGGATAAACATTTGGTTAATTTATCTTTAATATTGATTGGTCACCAACCATTTCACATGTTGCAGCCCAAATGGAACGATGGATTACTGGAAATTTTCCGGAGTGAGTACATTGGCACGGCACCGTACATATCCTCCTCTCCCTCACTTTGTCACCACAAGCTTTGTCAGAGTGATCAGTTTCTAGTCCTCTCCTCTGATGGACTGTACCAGTATCTAACCAATGAGGAAGTGGTTTCTCATGTTAAAACTTTCATGGAGAGGTTCCCAGATGGTGATCCTGCACAAAGTTTAATCAAGGAGGTGATTGTCCGTGCAGCTAATAAAGCGGGTGAGTTTCGTGGGCACTTTTATATTTGATAAAATTTCTGTCTTATTCAATTGAAAAATGGTTGGTATTAAGCTATCTTTGCCTGGCGGTTACTGGATCTTGAGAAAACTTAAACAGGATATTCGGTTGGTTTAGGTGTGGGCATGGAAGTCGAGACGTAAATCAGAAATAAGTTCATTTGAACTCCACGTTGAGTATGGCTTAACCATTATATATATTTTTTTCTCCCTTCATGCAATGCTGCATCTTATTAGAATTCAATGGAGGGTTGGGCGTTTCGTTTTGGCTAAGGCTATGAAATCCTCAGCGGCCCCTTGATTTTGCAGCATACAGAAGGGAAAATAGGAGATGTAAAACTTAATTTCATAACATCCAGCAATCTGCTTGGCTATCTGTGTGCATAGAAGCACGTGATGCTGCACCTGCATTGGAGTCGTAAGACTGATGAGTTCTGCACACAGATGGTCAAGGAGGATAATTAATTTTATGGGGCATCCACGTAATTGACCTGTAGTGTTCTTTCAGTAGTTAGCTCGCAGTTCCTTTTTAAGATCAGTGCATTTTTTTCTTTTAATTGGGGAAAAAAAAATCTTGAAAGGGATGCGTGATTACAATAAACAACAGAGCTGGGGAACGTAGATTTTATTTATTTAGTTTTCATTACCTTCATCAGCGAGTCTCCATTCCTCTGTCATGAACATGCTGTTGCTCTATGAGCGATCACACTAGTCAGAACTTGCCTATTTGCTTCAGTCTTATTTTTCCTTCATGAAACCGATCGTTTGCTCACATGTAGGCATGGATTTCAACGAGCTGCTAGGCGTTCCGCAAGGAGACCGCCGGAAGTACCATGACGATGTCAGTGTCATAGTCGTATCCCTGGAAGGAAGGATGTGGGAGTCGTCACGATGATGGTAGCCAGCGATGCGTAGATTCGTCTAAGCTTTCTGCCTGCCTCGAATCCAGTACACCATTCCCCGCGAAATCAATTCATTAACGAAGGAATTCCTTCATAGAATGTTCATATGCCCAATAATAGAAGTTCATACACTGTAGAATTCCCTCGGAGGCGCTGGTTTGCATCTTGGTTTCACAAAATTAGAAAGGAAATATATGGAGGGTCTCCCCATTTTGTCCTACTGTCCTTCCCGCCTTTTACTGGTTTTTCACTGACTAGTTACTGGTTATTCTTAGTCCCTCATGATCCTCAGCTCGCCCTCGTCTTCGCCTCAAGGGGAGAAAACTGGGCCTCAGGGGTGGGAAAAACATCGTTCGACAGCCAGTTTGTGATTCTCTGCAGGCCTACGCCGCCGCGGAAGCATCTCCGGCCAGAAGCCAAGGCACGAGGTCCTCCTTCGAGGCCACGAAGCAGCCGCGCCTGTCATCCTCGTCCCGCCGGAATGGCGCCGCCAGCGTCTCCAGGTGCGCGGCGAAGGCGGCGGCGAGGCCCTGCGAGAACTTGTGCGTGCCGGCGCCAGTGTGGACGGTGAAGAGCTGCGGCAGGGCCTCCCCCTCCCGCAGGCTCCTGCCCAGAGTCTCCGTCCAATCGTCGAACGCTACGTGAGCGGCGCCGACGGAGAGCGACCTCAGGTTCAGCGACCACTCACCGGCGCTCTTCCCGTGCAGGCCGGGGTACAGGCCGTAGAGGTTCCCCAGGGAGAAGAGCTCGCGGGGCCGTCTGTAGGGGAAGCTCTGGTTGCGGCAGATGTCGATCAGGCAGTTGCAGAAGGGCCTCCGCGCGTCGACGGCTGTCCCATTGAGGATCCCCCGGAACTCCGCCTTCACCGCCTCGAAGCCCACGGCGTCGTCCCCGAGCATGCGGACGAGGCGGACAAGGCCGGCGTTGGCCGTCTCGAGCCGGGCGAGGACGGTGGGCGCCTGCTCCGGCCGGCAGAAGGCGACGACGGAGAGCAGGCAGCCGCAGAGCCGGTCGTCGGGTACGACGCCGTTGGCCATGGCGACGTCGAACACCTCCACGGCGTCCTCTATCCTGCGGGCCCTCCCGAGGCACTGGATCAAGCAGGTGCAGCTCATCACGTTGGGCTTCACGCCGGCCGTCAGCATCTCCTGGAAGAGCTCTCCGGCGTTGTCGGGCCGGCCGCCGCTGGCGTAGATGTTGATCATGGCCGTGTAGCTGAAGCTGTCAGGGCGGCAGCGGTCGGAGGCCTTCATGTCGGCGAAGAGCTTCTCAGCCTCTTCCTCCAGTCCCACGTCGGCGCACATGCTGAGCAGGGTGTTGTAGAGGATGAAGTCCATGGGCCACCGGTTGGCCCTCATCCGCGTCCACAGCTCCAGCGCGTCCTTGCTCCAGCGCGCCTTGCCGTAGATCTTGGCGAGCGCCGTGAGCGTCTTCTCATTGGGGGCCAGCCCCGCGGCGGTCATTTCGTCGAACAGGCTGCGGGCGAGCCCCGGCTTGCCGGCCTTGCCCAGGGCTTCCAGCAGGGTGTTGTACACCACCAGGTTGGGCTCCACGCCCACGCCCTTCATCTCCTCCATGACGTACCTGATGCCGTCGTAGTCGCCGGCCTCCCCGAACATCCTCGCCAGCACAGAGAAAGCGACGGCGTCGGGCTTCCAGCCGCCGGCGCGGCCGCGCTCGTAGAGGCTGATCACCTCCTCCACCTTGCCCAGCCGGGCGTAGACGTCCAGCACCGCCGAATAGGTCACCTCGTCGGGGGTCACCCCGGTCTTGTACATCCGCTCGAACCACTCGATGGCGCGGTCGAACTGGCGGCGCCGCTTGGCGCAGGTGATGACCGTCGAGTAGGTGATGTTGTCCAGCTCCACTCCCCCGTCAGCCATCTCCTGGGCGAGACTGTCTACCAGCTCGTACTGCCGCTCCAGGCGGAGGGACTTCATCACCACGTTGTAGAAGATGGTCTCCATGGCGAAGCCCTCTAGCGACCGGAGCCAATTGAAGAAACGGTACGCCTTCTCCCACGGGCGGAGGCCGCCGAGGATGAGCAGCGCCTCGTCCCTCGCCGGCAGCCCCTCCGGGAAGGCCTCCCGGACGGCCGCCGAGAAAGCGGCGAGGTCGCCGCCGCACTCGCGGAGGGCCTGGGAGACGAGGGCCATGCGCTTGCCATCGGTCCCCGCGGCGGCGGCGGCGGAGCGAGGGTGGCGCTGCAGGGAGAGCACCCGGGGCCTGGGCCGGGAGGGGTTCACCCAGGTGGATTTCGGCTTCCGGGAGAGTCGGACCGGCGGTGGGTCGACCTGCGCCGCCGCCGTCTCCTGCTCCTCCCCCTCTTCCGGGTGCTCCGGTTGGTCTGTGAGGAAGGTGAGGGATATGGGCTTCAGCTGCTCGGAGAGGGTCGGAGCGGAGGCCGGAGAACCCGACGGCGAGGATTTGGTGGCTGCGGCGGGGGAGCAGGAGGGAAAGGAGAGACGGGGGGAAGGCTTGCCGCCGAGTCCGGCAAAGATGAAGGGGTTGGTCATGGGGAAGAAAGGGGAGGATCTAGGAAGTTGGAGGAGAGACCGCGGAGAGGGAGAGGCTGTAGCCGGGACGGCCGCCATGGCCTTGGTGGGTTTCACCGGCGAGAAGAATGGGGGTGGCCGGGGGAGCGGTCGGTCGCGCAGAGCCTTATCTCCGGCGAGAAGGGCACAGCGAAGAGGGCTTTTGTGGATTCAATCTAAAATATCAGGAAACTCTTCCTGCTTCCATTGTCGCACCGTGTCGGACCTTCCACCTATCTCCCCTCGCCACGTATAGTAAAAAAATATCATCAACCATTTACGCTACTGGAGCTCGGTTGGGGTTTTAACCGGCCATAGTTTAATATCAACTTTGATGTTTTAGTTTTAAAAAGATACTTCCTGGAAAAATAACGTGAAGCGGAAAATATGATTTTCAATGAGCAAAGTTAGGCATTTGCTGAAGCGGCAGTCTACATGGAAAATGGCCATACGTTTGCATCCATCTTATCAGAAAATTAGGTTCCATTTGGTGAAAACAAAAAATTGAGCCAATATATCAAGTACCGACATATGTTTGTCTTTAAATAAAAGTCAGTCTCTTTCAACTTAGGGAAGAATCCCAATACTCTTCTATTTTAGGGTATATGATCTAAGAAATTTACATCGAGAGATGTGCTTAAATGAATAGTATTTGTTACACATAACATGTCCATCTGATACGCCTTTGTTAAGATTAATTAATTTCATTCACATTGAAATTTGGGTAAAGCATCAAGTCTTAATTACCAACAAGTGACTTCAGATTTTACACAAGGTCACAAGATTCAAACATTGTGTTAAGAATTTGAGTCAAGAAAGGAATCCCAACTTATCATAATTAAAGAACATCTAACAAAAGGCTTCACAAGAGAGCTTACTAATTACTTCTTTGAGAGAACTATATCAACATTATTAAACCATTTTTCTAATGTATGGATGTCCTCAAATATTGCTATCCATATAAAAAATCAGAATAAAAAAAATGTGATTTCAAAACCTTTGTATGTTATGCAATTGTAATTTAATAGTGTCAATTAAATGGTCTCATTACCTTACTTTTCATTTTTATAAATTTTCATTATCAAAATATTTTTATGACCTTTTATTTTAAGAATGATTTTTATACATATTTTAGTTTTCATTTTTTCTCATCTTAACTCTATTTTCAATATGTGATCTTAGATATTGCAAATTAATTGTCACTAATCAGTCTATTGAATCTAGATAGTTGATCAAGTTTGTATACATTATCGTATCTTCAAAAGATGACATTTTTATTAGGTCTAATTAAAACACAAGTAACCAAGATAATAGCTTAATTGGGCTTATGTATCAACTTAAGGTCACCAATATTTTTTCTACATATAAATAATAATGTTTTACTGTATTTGGTCACTATTATGTTATTCTTAAAATGGCCTTCTTGGTTCTAGAAACTTTAAGTATACTTGTCAAATAATTCAATGCCACCTCACTTTTCTTAGCTCATGTCTTTAAGAAGCTAACACATTAGTCTTATGATGCTAGCTCAACATTGATAGTCTAATTAACCTTAACTAAATTTGACATAAAGTTGATAGTTGGATTGTATTGTCCTTTGTGATGATAGTCCACATACTCATGACCCCAACTAACTAAACTCCTTAATTGAAAAGTTTAACTTAAGAACATCCTTTAAGTTTGAACTTGCAAGGTGACAACCACAAATGAATCAAGCTCTTAAAGATAGATAAGCTTAAATAGTTAATCCTACTCTTAATGTGGGATCAATTGTCTAATCATAGGCTAATGTTGTTCTTATGGCATAAACTCTATATATTGTATACTTTCTCTAAACCATTATGTTGCATATGTCCATTGTGTTGCATGCACTCATCATTTCATATTTTCAGGTTATATCATGTACACTCATTGTTCCTTGCACTTTTGGTGTGCTCTTGGCTACAATATTTTAATATTAGAACTTTGTCTTAGTAATCTTGGTGACATTCTCTCCCTTCATTAATGTTCAATGACCTCATCAGATGTTGGCATGCTAAGTATTATTAAATCAAACATTTGAACTACCTCATCAGATTTTCTTGCATATGGTTATTTCGTATATGATGTTCTTGTGAGGATAATTTTATCATTCTCCATCAATTATTAGGTAATCTAATAGAACCTTGGCCTTGGCCTTGTCCATGTCTTGGGCTTGAACTATAGGCAGTGGGAACCTTGGTTGATTCTTTTCTTGGTTATTCTCATTTAGATGAAACATTGAAAATGAGATGTATTGAGTCTTTGAGTAGCTTGAGATGATAAACTAGTCTTTATACTCACATGATTTTGAATGGATCAATTAGTTGTGACAATTTTGTCTTTGTAGACGTGTGTATATATATCCATAGCTACACCCAATCATCATTGACTATTCCACTTATGACTATTGATAATTTATATGTTTCTTCATTTTACATACTATATATGTCAATATCTCCTTGATCTCTTTGATTAATTATTGTTACTATTGTGTAAATTGATATATTGTTGATAAGTATCCTAATTTGTATTGTTTCACGAGCTTGAAAAGTGTTAAGGGTTGTTGTCTAGTGATCAACTCAAAAGGTGAGTGTCTTGTTAGAAAGTGAAGTATTTTGTGATATAATAACGATTTCAAAGGTTGCTCATATATAAACAAAGGTTCTAATATGGTGACTAATTTTTTGGCCTCTATTTTATTTTGTTGACATATGAGACTTGAGTGAACTTAAGTTTTCATGTCTTTTTATATGTTAGGCCAAAAGAAAATACCGAATAATATTTCAAACATATTCTTCTATGTGGGCCATTTGAGCCCATTATCTCTCTCTCTTCTCCCACCTATATAAATATATGTATTATTCAATTAGAGTTAATATGGTCTTAAGATTTAACCATTTCTTGTCAACATGGTATTAGAGTTCTAGGGTTCTTTTCAACTGTAGTCTCTACCATTGTGTTGTTGCCACACCACACTTATTGTTGTTATTGTTGCATCCTCTGCATGTTATCCTCTCTCTTTTTATGTGTCATTGTACTACTGTGTGTGTAATCAGCATGATGGTCAGACTTGTCTGGTACACCATAACCCACCCCTCAATGACTATTGTCAATAGTCAAACTTATTTGGGCAAAGGTCTTGGCATGATTACTATGACCTCTACCTTACCGTTGGCCCAAGTCTTCAACGTTCCTAATTTTTCTACAAATATTTTATCTATTAGTGTCATCACTTGTGCTTTACTTTGTACTATTATATTTTTATCTTTTCACTATGTCTTCTAAGATCTACATATTAGACAAAATTAATTTGGGATGTGAGAAAGGTTGGGGTATTTACGAACTTGTCTCGAATACATCTTCTAACATTCAAGTACTTTTTGTTACTTTTACTACTACTACTTCTATTTGGTAACATTGTCGTTTAGGTTATTCTTGTTATTTAAAACTTCAAAAAACCTTATCATGGTTATCTCTTAATGAATTTATGTGTAAGTTATGTCAACTTGGCAAACATCATCGTTTCCCATATTTTAGTCATGATGGTATTTCATCATTGACTCTATTCAATCTTATTCATTGTGATGTTTAGAGACTCTCTTGAGTTGTCTCTATCACTAAACATTTTTATTACATCATTTTTGTTAATGATTACATTTGTGTGAGTTGAGTTTATCTTTTTTCTGATCAGTCTCAAGTTCTTTCTATTATTACTCAATTTATGATTGAGATTGTTACCCAATATTTCATCACACTTAACATTCTTTGCATGGACAATATATTTGAACTTGTTCAAGATCTCATTCGCACATTTTGTATCGATCATTGTATTGTTCACTAGACCAACTACACATATACTTTTTAATAAAATAAAATTATTGAATAAAAATACCATCACTTACTTGACATTACTCACATATTACTCATTAAGATGCATATTCCACATTATCTGTGATCTGACGCACTACTTATCTTTAAAACTATCTTCCTTATGTTCAATTAGATGGTGTCATTCCTCTTCAACGTCTCACACGATGCTTCGCTTTTTTCTTTATCTTATGAAATTTTTGATTACATCATTTTCTTTCATGATCACTCATCCTCTCTTTTTAAACCTGCTCCTCGTGTTCTAAAAGGTGTCTTTGTGCATTACTCGCACACCCAAAGGGGTTATTAGGTATACTTTCTCGACATTCGTCGCTATGTGACCTCCTCTAATGTTACTTGTCATGAGAATTTTCTTCTTTTTACTCCATCTCCTTCATCTTCTTGTCTATATGCATCTCCATCCCCTTGGTTTTCACCCTTTATCATTCTCATAGATCCTCCTTTTATTCCTTCTTCATCTCTCCCTTTTTCGTTAGCACCTCCACCATTCGTGTCCTCTACCAATGCCTCCACTTCGAGTGCAGTTTCATCCTCACCTGCCTCGCATAACACTATTGCCTATTAGTTGACCTTCCTATGTCTTCTATAGATGTTATTCATCTTCTTATTCATTACACAAAGGTACATGTTCTTACACTCAATATTTATATCCTACTTTATTTTTTATGATTACTTTTACCTCACCTTTCATGACTGTCTTCTTTGTAGCCTTCAAGTCAATTCCATAATCACATATTGAGGCACCTCAAGCTTTGACTTGGAAATAGTTATGGATTCAGATATGAGAGCATTGATTCCTCAAGACATGCAAAAGCTTCTCTCATCTGACCAATATCAACATTGTGACGTACAAGTGAGTCTCCACATTAAAATATAACCTAGATGGCTCCATCACTCATCACAAAGCTCGCTTGGTTGCTCATGGCTTCACTTTTGTGGTTCCACTAAACTCTATTCATTTTTATTTCTTTCCTTGGTGGTGTATCGTGATTGATCACTTCACTAGTTAGATGTGTCTAATAACTTTCTCTATATTGACTTGGAAGAGCAAGTTTTTATAGAACCTCCATAGTATGTTATTTAGGAGAAGTCTTCTTAAGTTTACTTATTTCAGCATGTTTTTTACATACTCAAGTAGAGTCCTTGAACCC